ACCTTATATATATATATATAATAAACATTTATAACATATATTAATAATTTATATATGACATATATATTTATAAATTATTATATTGAATAATTCTTTAATAATTTTTATTTCGTGATTTTATATTATGTCTCATTACGCAAGTATTGTACAAGTAATGTAAATTTTGCACGGTTCTTTTTTCTTACCTGCATTTTAATTGAGCGTTTTCGCCGGTCCTGATAGTACCCAGTTCCAAACTCGAGCTGGACGCATCCGAATCGCTGTGCGCCGGACTCGGAGGACCGCCGGTGCCCGGAGACACCCCCAGCCCAGTCAAACCGGCGGCCGGCGAGGCACCTAGTTCCTCCTCGGCCGGCATCCTCCGCGGCCAAACCGGAAGGTCCAGCGGTGGCTGAAGGCTCCCGTAGTAGCTCGAGACCGGGCTGGTGGAGTAGCCGGAAACCGGGCTGTAAAAACCCGGGACAGCTCCTAGCAGGGTGCCCGGGTAACGAGCGGCGCCGTAGGGACCAACGTGAGTTGGCATTCTGCCCGGAACATAAACGATCATTTTTTTCATTACTTTTGCCTCCGACTTCAACCAATTCGCCAATTTCACTAAAGACGTGCAGATTTTGTTCGATCGTCGCTTTAATTAATGACTCTGTTTAATTCGTGTTTTATGCAGACGTGTAATGTATGATGCGTACGTGTAAATGTATACGTGAATGTGCACGTATGGTCGGTCGTGCAAAGTCGCGTTCGGTGCGTCTCTCAAAGAATTTCCGAGTGATTTCGTTTTCTATTTGTTCAACTTTAATTTTGCCGCTCTTTCTTTATCTTTGCTTTAATGATCTTTCACAAGCTGACATACATACATAAGCGCATTATTTTTTTTTAGCGCCGTCGTTAGATAAAATCTGTCTGTTCCTTAAAAGGAGTCTCCTCAGAACTTTTTCGTCTCGCTAATGACAAATATTCAATTTCCCTTTTGACAATCCTTTCAACAACGAAATCATTAACTATCACAGCCTTTCACGGCTTGACACAATTTTATAGTCTTGATTGTCAATCTTAATTTTTGTGCTCAAAACTTTATTTGTTAATAAAATAATTCGTCGTTACCAATATCTTCTTTTCTGTTAAAAATATCCTCGATGAAGGAATTGTCAATTGTCATTACCAATTCAATTTGTTTTACAAAGATCTTTTTTTTCCAAAAGTTCTTGTATGCCCCTTGCCTTCGAAAGATTCGCCTCACTAGCGATTTTCGATGACGTCAGTTTTCTGTCGCGTCGTTCCCGTCTGACGTATTTCTTTAATTAAGCTTGCGTCGTCGTACAAAGCGATTCGGCCATTGGATTTTAGCACAAGACTTTCCAGGTCTTGCTGAGGCACCCTCGTCTCTGCTTTCCTGAACACCGTAGGTACGACAAGTCGCCCGCAGTACAATATACACACACCACCTTGCGCACACCCTCTACCACGTAGTCCGAGTCCGTATCGTCAGATGTATTTGAATCGGTTGGACTTGAGTATACGGTAGCTCAGGAATTGCTTGCTGTACTTGATTGAGAGCATAACTGGGCTGGACGATCGCGGTGAATGAATTATAAAACACTGCCGTCACACTTCCGGAAACAGTTTTCGTAACTTTGAGTTCGTTTAATAACGGTTGAAAGTACCTGAAGTCCAATAAGTTCTATTTATTTAGAAAATAATGAACGACTTAATTGATAGTAATCGCGGAAACGGTTCAATCAATGCTAAGAGAATCCCATCTTTTTTGGTTGCGTGTTGCTTGCCACGTTTCCTGACGGTGGAGACGATGCGTCGAAGAGGAAGAGGAAGAAGACGTAAAAATCGCAATTAGAGTTCGAGGATAAACACGATGAATTTTTGCTGATTGAACCGTAGTAATACGTTGCGTCCTGATTAGCTCCTTTATAAGCACGCTGAAAGATCTATGGTTATTTATTTACTGTACTTCTTTTTTTCTTAATTATCTCCGCTCAAATGTTCAAAATGAAAGTTAGACGTGGTCAGAATGTTATACAAACTCTGGAGCAAAACAAAACGTGAGAGAATATCAAACTGATGGCAGAGACGAATGTGCAAGCTTATATATTGTCGCGCTATCGCTTTATTGCCCCTCCATGAGATTCACTGGCACAGAAGAGAGAAGACTGATAACAGTTTGTCGCGTACTCGCCAGCTTCGTAACAGTCGTCTTTACAAACGAGCTAGTATCAAATCAAGTCACTTCGATGTGAAACTAATTGAACAGTGATTTGCTACAAAATATATATGGTATACAGCTAAGATTATAGATATTACAAGATGATAAGAATTATTTTAGCATTATGAAAACTAATAGTGTCTGTAACTAATAACTTTTTCAGACACTAATTTTTAGAAATATTGGATATTCTAGGAAAATATCATAATGACAAAAACAATAAAAATATATGATTAGTAAATCATATCAAAGTTTTGAAATGGAATTATACTTTATATGAGCAAAATTTGTAAATCTTTCTTTCCCTCTCCTCCCCCCCTCCTTTCTCTGTCCCTCTCTCTCTCCCGTTTTGCAAACATCTTATGAAGGAAATGAAAATAGAGCCATAAGATCCACGAGAAAGAAGAGGCTAGACAGATTTATCTCGTCAAGCTTCAATAAGATAAGATCGCTGGTACCCCCCGCATCACAGTCACGACCAACCAAAATTGACTTGGCCCCTATCGTTGATTTTGCCTCATGCGACTTGCTGCTGATCGTTGCGGGTGGGAACAAAGTCCATATGTTTCACAACATGGCGATGTATTATCTGCCGTATTAACGGTTCGGTGTGAATGGGCTGCAAGCTGAATCAACAGACATCGCCGTCGTTGACCCGGTAATTTCTTCCCGGCGGCAAAGAATCACGCGCTCGTGAAAATGACGACAGCGACCCTGAACGACGGCCGCCGGGGGCACCTTCGATCCAGGGGGGCCTTCGTCATCAGGAAGTGACCGCTTGTCGTCGTTTCGAAAGGCAATCCGGTGAAGGTTGCCGCAGTCTTGTCACAGAACACGTTTCTGGCCCGATGACGCAATTGATAACGACGGAGAAGCAATTATTTGCGTCTTCGTGCGGCGCTTAAAAGGAATGATTAAAGCATCGACGAGATGATCGATAGAGATATTGGAGTGGATAAGGAATGATTTTAAACGACATCTAACCGTAGGCGTGAGCTTTGATAATTGGACGAGCACGCGCCGATGATCGCGATGATCTCTCTCCGGGTGCGACATGACCTCAGAGAAATCAACAGGATCGTTTAGCAACGCGATACCGCTCGGTAGTTATATTCAGTCCGAGTTGTACTCTCAATTACGCCGCCTATATGTGAGACTCCCGACTCATGGAACGGAGTCCAACATATATAGAATCGCGATGTGGAAAAAGAGGAATCGACGTATCCGCTATCATCTCCAGTTGCGATGCGTTTCACGTCGTCACGGTCTAGAGTATCGCGCGGCAGAGGAAAAATTCCGTATTATATAATCCGATTTGTCACGAATCATTTGTTGCGACAACATTTGCACTGAGCAATCACGCGATTGGTGACTCTTGGTAAACTTTTGCTAACATCGACCAATTTTAGACCTTATTTAAATATTCAGAATTAACAAGATAATTATAAGGGAGGGGAGCGATGACGTTTCCTTTGACCGACTAATCTCTCGAAGGCGTATTAATCATTGGGACAACTGGTCAAGGTGATATTATTTTCATTCTCGGCGGCATATTAGAATCATTTAACACAGTGGGATTTCAACTTCCCGAATATTGTTTGTAAATGTTATTTATGTTCCTCTTCGAACGTGTCACGTTGCAATTCTCGGGAATATATCGCGATACGAAGTTCTATATCATTCTATTCGTTCAATGTCATTCTACTATATTTAGAAAATGAAGAGCGCTTCATTTTCTCTTCATTTCATTTGTTTGCTGCGCTATATCGCACTGGGGCTATAAACGCATATGTAAATCATTAATGGCGTCATTAATCGAGATGCTTAACTCCCCGTTGTAAATTGTAACGCCAAAAGCGATTTATAAAGGCCACTTCGTTTCCAAGTGGAAAATACGCTTCTCGTAGACATAACAGATGTCGTAAACGCACACTACGCGCATGAGATAATGGGTCCATTCTCCACGGATGAAAAGTCAGACAAGCCTCGTCCCGTTTTCCATCCTATAGAGAATGATCGCGTCGATCGACGCGTCGTCGCAACGATTGGCCGATGCATCGCGAACAAAACCGGGGAAAACTCGTCGACTTTCTTCGATCATAAAGGAAAGATGGATCCGATGATGCGTGAGAAATTCTCCCTTCACCGTCGCGCGCTATGTAAGCCATGGCTTTGTTTATGGCCGTCGATCGTCTAATTTATAGCGTGATCGCATTGCGACGAGGTGTCATTAACAATCGAATTTTTCCTTTTTTTCTATTTACTCCTATTTTTTTTCCATATTTTAATTATAGTTCTGTAATATTTAAAGGAAAATTTTAAAACGAAATACTTTTTTTTTCTCATTGGAATCATCACGATAGCGTAATGCCGTCTGGTGACGTTTCTTCGCCGGGGTGCTAATTGAACGGCAATCTAATCTCGTCGCGACTCGCACGTCTGGCAATTTGAAGTAAACAAGTTCAAGCTTATCGGAATTAAGATCCACCTGTTGCTATCAGCGTGAGCAGTTCTTAATTTCGTGGAAGGTTATTCATGTCTTGTTGTACCGTGATTGAAGAAGACACGGCAAGATCTAATTACTTGCATTCTCCGTCATACTTATTTGCTATAAATTTACTTGTAATGCAAGCAATCTTTTTTTTCCAAGAAAGACGAAGGAGTGGGTTTGCAAAAGCGCGAGGATACGTGAGAGTACGCACACATTCGCATTATCGGCGCTGACTTGGCGATAACACCACTGAGGGGGTCTTCTTACATTAACTACGTCTGATAACCGAATAAACACAAAATTAATGACATCCATCCATTACTTTAATATCGCAGTTTAATATCGTGTGTTTACTGTTATTTATTATTGCTGTTTTTCATATCTTGCAGAAATACTTTTCTATCGAAAATTTAATATATCGCGTATATATTTCAAAATAAATATTCTGAAATAGTTTAAGAATAAAGAAGCACAATTAATTAAATTCTCTAAAAATTCCTACTATATTTTTGAAAAAATGAATTGATCGTTAAATAGATTCAAATAATTAGACGATTCGTTTGACAAGGAAAAAGATGAGGATAGAGTCATATAATCTTTCTCGACGACAAGCCAGATGCCAGACGGTCGATAGCCGTTGAAAAAAAATGCAGGATTGATCGTGGAACACGAACGCTATTGTCCCGCGATCTTAACTTCAAAAATGATCCTCACCGCAACGTTATGTTCGTTCTGAACGATCGTATCGTATCATCTATCTCGGATACGTTTTATAAATTTTATGGCGTGTCGTTTTACAATCTTAGTCATCGTCAGGCTAGCGAAGAGTTGGCGGACAGGACTGTTATACATACTGTAAGAAATATTTGTTTGAACAAAATGGTATCGCAAACAGATAATTTTTTATGTTAAGTCGTTTATAATATATCTTTTGCTTTCGCGCATAAGTCATCGTTCAAGAATCGGCCTCGTTTCCCGAGGGACTTTTAGCTCTTTTACGTGATGTCGTTATGGGGTCAGGCAATGGAGATCCCTCCTTTTTCTCCCCCGATCGATTTCACAGGCAACGCTATGATTTATACTGGTACGCCGGCGATGCTCAATTCTCGATTCATCCTCTAGACTCTAGAGAAATACCCCCAGCGACCTTACCTCGGCACATTAATGAATATTGTATGGCCACCTTTTCTTGGGTGCCCTATCGGGCCCTCCCCTCCTGACCCTTTCTGCAACCGCTGGTTCCCACCCTTCATCTCGGATGACACCCCACGGATCGGGCTGCTGGCGTCGGCGTGCTTTGATCTCGGGGGAACGCGGCGAACAGGTAGAAGAAATCGAGAAGAGGACGATGAGAGCGAAAAGGCGACGGAGAGAGAGAGAGAGAGAGAGAGAGAGAGAGAGAGAGAGAGAGAGAGAGAGAGGGGGGAGAGGGAAGGGAAAGAAGGAAGGATCCCAGCCCCGACGGACGTAGATTCCACGATGGCCAATGGAGGAGTCGGGCCTGACTCTAAACTCGAGAAAATATGTTCGGAGTCTTTAGATTGAGATCCGGGAGAGATAGCCCTACAACCTCCTCCCCCTCCGCCTTCTCTTTCCTCCGCCTCCCACTATCTTCGCCTTCGCTACTTATGATGCGCCCGAGGAACGCCGAAAGAGATTTTATTTCTCCTCACCTCTCCCCCGCAGATCTTTCATTTAGATTTAATTCCCGTGCTTTCCCTTGAGAATACCATCGGGCTTCGAGATCTCTTAGAGTCGTCCCCGACTTACCAGGGAGACGACCATTTCGGTAGCTGGTTACGTCCTTTGGAGCCTGTTTACGACGATTGTGAAAAATTGAACCGCCTCTTGCCGGTACAAGCTTCTCTCAGCGGCGGTTTCGTGCTTAACGCCGCCGCAGCCAATAATTTGCTTTCGACATTCCGAATGCCTCTTTAATTAAAGTTACGTCGCAGGCACGCGGTAGTAAAATTTGGCAGTACAAGCGCATCTCGTTGTTTATCGTTGAATTTTCTTAATTAATTAATTTTCTTAAGAAGATGCTGTGGCGCGTTTGAGTTTAATTAATAACAATTAAAAGCAGATACGTGGTTTCTCCCTGTTAACTTCGATATAGAATATTGATGAGATGAAACGGCCCGCTGACCTCGCCGGTATAGTTCTTCCATTGAATTCATTCATTCATTAACCTTAGAGCTTCCCATCTCGGGATGGGAAGAAAGCCCTACGGGAAGCCCGTTTCGAGGGAGAAGCCTTGAGGAGAAAATTGGATCGCCCCATGCTCAGCGAGAGACCACTTTCAGTCGCGACGAGGTGGGAAACCGAGGTATATAGATCGCGTGGCGCTTTGCGTGTGGTTCGCGTCACAAAAATACGTCGAAG